GTGAAGACCTCCGACCAGAGCTGTCAAAATAAAAGAAAGGATTGAATCAACAATGCGATTAGTATTGGTTTACACTAAAGACCACAGAACAAGCACGATTCTTCTGCGATATGAAATTTTAATGATGCTAGATAGGATACACTTCTGTTGCTTTGTTGTTGTCATATCAGCTCAATGAGGCCTTGCAGGGTTTGTCCTGCTCAGATGATCCTCTATTGAATTTGTTTTCTATTTAGTCATTCACAGTGTCACTTTAGCCTGATTTATTGCTCATACCACCAAACTGCATACATTGCTAGATCTGGTTACATAAAACATCATATTGCAAAGATTATGACTAAATTAGGCTCCAAAGCAGGAGTCCCTTCTAGTAATTTCTCAGTTGGCGGTTTTGTTGACAGTTGCCAGTTTCCTCCAAAACACACACTCATTCATCACCACCCATAAAGAATTAAGAGGTGACCACCAGCAAAGGTTCTCAGTGTGAATGTCATGCAAGTTTCATTGCAGTTGCTTTCTTTTGTTTTCATGCCTTGGTTTCCAAGCAACAGCACTTCAGACTGTACAGAAGTGTTGTGGTTGGACTGCATGGCATTGAGTGACCAAACAAAAGAGCAAGGTGACCTGACTCCTCCATTAATGTATGGGTATGACACATTGGCCTTTATTTAAATTCATATTTGTTTTCTCACTAATGTAGTTTGGCGATAAGTTGGTGGGAGGCTTTTCCTAGCAAATACAACTCAGTTAGCAAAATCACTCTCATTCTTGGATAGTATGTAGGTTTGTGATAGATTTGTGTACTTTTGGGTCCAAAATGCATAGGCACGGGCGTTGAGGGCATATTCCAACTCAAAACGCGAGCGAAGGGCAGCTACGTGACTTCGTCCAGGACTACCACGTGCTACCAGGCAGTCAGTGGAGGATGAGGGCGAAAGAGAACCACTGCTGTTACTGGAGGCTGGAGACATTAGCTGGACACACATAGAAATATCAATAAGTACTGAACTAAGAGAATAACAATGTATAGTAGATATGTGCATGTATACTACCTCCACGTTACACAGGCATTCCTCTAGTTTGGCAACCACTTCCGAAAACTCTGGTCTTTCCTGTCAGAGAGAGTCAAAAAATAGGGGATTTTCATCAGAGGTTTGGTTGAAGTACAGGAAATAATTTCTGGCTATCCAATCAGCTGCTCCTCTGAAGAGGACTCGCTGCCCAAGCATCATTCAGAGTGAAGGACTTCAAAAGACCAGACACAGTACTTCATCAGAGAAACGAGACACACAAAAACACACATGAATTACAAAGACCATGAAGACCATATATACACCACCGTTGAAATGATTGGGGTTTTAAAAAATACTATTTAGCAAGCATGTATTAAAAGTGAATTCTGCAATGAATTGCTTTGTATAAAGAATCCTACGTTGTTTATGTACATAAAGGTTTCCATAAATATATTAAGCAGCACAACTTAGATAATAGTAAGAAATGTTTCTTGAGCAGCAAATCTGCATATCAGAATGATTTCT